TATTTAAATTTCCCAGTATCCTTTACCACATGAGTACTTTAAGTTTGTCACTAATGTGTCTTTGTCCTCATGATGTAGTTTATGCCAGGAAATCAACCGACCAACTGTTAGACCTTCACTATACAGCAGGATTTATCCCTAAACCACTTTGTTTCACCTTGATACAGTCAGGTAATCTCCATTCAATTTATCTGAGCTGTCAAAATTGGCAGCACATGTGATTATTTATCATTATTATGTAATTAATGTGTGTCATATGTTAATATTTGTAGGGATTTATTTTCACTGTAAATAAAAGCGTTCCTGAGGGGAATACTGGTTAGGAACTTCCTGTCACAGCACTGTATGATACATTGTGCTTTCAAATACAAAAACTACTTCTGTGGGGAAGAACTGCACTTTGAGTGCATCATAATTTCAACCCAGCATCAGATGTCAACTTTATTTGTTTTGCTGTAGCATTATGTGGTTTTGACTGTGTCCTGCTTTGGTTGATATTGTCACATGTGAACTTCCCTCAATGAATCTATGCAGCAGTTAACTGTGAACGTAGTGGAAACGTTACTGTTGGAGGTGTAATAGCAGAGTACAGACACTAGGTAGCAGTGATGTACTCACTGGAACTTGGCTGGACAGAGGGAAGCCACTGCCAGGGCTCTTCTTTTTGTTGTTGTTGTTATTATTAGTTCCTCCTCCTCCGCTGATGGTGCTGCCACCTGACATCTTACGCTTCCGCCGCTTGTTTGGGGCCTGTCTTGATGGCTCAGCTGCAGAGAAGAGATGAAGGGAGAGAGTTACAGGTGCATTTACTCTGGTTGTTTATGTGGTTGTGTGTGTGCATGCTGTTCCCCTACCTGGTGGTGCTACCATTCTCTGCCATTTCTGGAAGAGGCAGGTCTTGAGGCAGTCTCTGGGGCTGAGGCTGTATGTCTTGTGTCTGGACATGAGCTCCTGCATGGGCTCCAGAATCACACACAGCTGGAGGAGGGAACAAAGAGAGGCAGCAGGATAGAGATTACACAGTGCTTAAGATCATTAGAGATGCTTCAATTGATCGAGCTCCTCCATTATCAGCTGGTGTTCAGCGCAATTGACTTCATCTGTGAACTTGAAACTCTCAGATCATAAAATACAGGAAGCAAACAGAAACATGACTCAAGTGTTTTCACAGAGCCGCCACAATACACATATTACATTTTCTCAATCACCACAGCAGAGGCAGTTTATGTTTCTATCAATCCCCCCATGGACTTGAGGGGGTGCTGTTCACTGCGTTTAAACCGTGTACAACTACAGCTGCAGACAGACAGGCACTATTTTTGGACTGCTAGTATCTAGTGAGTACTGTAGTAAGGCCTTTGTAGTAAGTATCATTGTTTCATTTGTACACGGTGTAAGCTAAATGATCAGAATCAGATTCTGAGCACACACAGCTTCTAATCTAGAGCACGGTAGGACTCGGGATGCAACAAGTATAGGGTTGCAACACTGCTGTGTGGTTTTCTAGTAGTATCAAAGAATATGCTAATATTATCTAGTAGTGAGACCAATTTAAAAAATGACAAGTATTATTTTTGGTTGTTACTTTTGCAGCATCTCTTATGCACAAGCTTCTTGCAAACAAGAACACTTGACCTGCAGTTCCAGTACAACCTGTCTGCGTATACTGACAGAACACAAGATACAAGGAATACGGGGACCCATTTAAAACAGTGCTCTGCAGTGCCAACATTGGTCCAAAACTCTCCACAGACCAACTTAAAACCACTTCATCAGAATCAACTTTCAAATCAACTTTTGAAAGAATGCCTGCAAGCTCAAAATAAATTTAACGTATCTATATTTAACTTAAATAAATAACATTATCAAAACACAACAAGAAAAACATTTTGCGTCATTGTAGAGATGAAATTTTGAACGTGTGCACCTCACTCACTCGGAGGTAGTTAAGGGTAGAGTTCGACAGGCCACATCTTGTTATGTTTTTGGACAGCTGGTCCAGCATCTGTGGGTCCTGGGCCTGAGAAATCAATAGGAGACAGGTTACAAAGCTGACACTCAAACACACACATCATTATACATCAGTAAACTATATGCGGTCATTCCCACTCCCTCTGTATGCACTCACATGCATGGCCAGTATACTGCGGGGGATGAGTTCACGGTGTTGTCTGATGCTGAAGTGCCATGTCTTTATCCTCATCATGTCGTCAAACATGAACTCCAGGTACAAACGCCCTTCTACACACACCTACGGCAGTTCAGAGGACTGAGGTCAGTACACAGCAGGGTTGTCACACAGCAGGGTTGTCAGTGTCACACGCTAAGAAGTTTTCTTTATTTTCTTTATTCCATAATATCTGTGTTATACTAAGTTGTTTTCTAAGGCGTATTAATAAAATACAGAAAAGAAAGAAGAAGAGAAGAAGAAAACATACATATTTTCAAACAAGGGGGCGACACAATAATATGTAGAGACACAAACACACACCTGTGTGAACATGGGCTTTCCATTCTGGGTGACCATGGTGCACTGATCACAGTCAAGGGAGACAAAGTTATTGTGGAAGGACTCCTTGGGATGTTTCAGCACATAGTAGAGCTCAGTGGCACCGCCCTCGAATATACTTCGAAAGTACCTTGGGATCAACGTCCGGCCAATTGCTTTAGAGGAGGCGAGACAACATGAGGGGTATGAGACAAAGAGAAATGCCACAGTATGCAGTCCATTTGTGACTGTAGGAGTTACATTAAAGGGGGGGTATATGTATGAAACAGAGTGGCGATATGTTCCAGTGACTTTGTGTCTTACTGTAGCGTTTGGGTCCATCCTCCAGACAGAAAGTAATGGTCAACATGGCATCATCTTCAAAGAACTCTGTAGTAAATGCATCCCACCACAGGTTGTCACACTCCTACAGGGTGCAGAGGGGAAACATAATCAGTTACCAACACAATTATTGGTTGCTTGTGTGTGTGTGTGTGTG